GCCCAGATTGTAGGTTCGTATGAAAAAAAAACACATTTGACAAACTGATAGACATTTGGAGGAAATACCACGAGACTACGGGGTGAGCCGTTAATTTGAAATTTCGACTTTATCTTTTCGCTATCCAATGCTTATATTTTGTTACAAGCAAATCAAAGTTTTAATGACTATTTGCATTTACACAGGTCTTTAGACTAGAAAGTAAATAATCTGCCTAATTAATTTTAATACCGATTTAAAAGACCTCTAGTAAAAACTGCCTCTACTATAACAACTTGATTTATATTTGAACTGTAGTTTAAATAAACCAAATTAGTAAAATAATATACAACGCACTTACCATTCATGCTGGATAAAATCGCACATAGTACGACAATGGATAACAACACTAAGGTGCACACTCTCATTTTGAAACACGTCCTGTCTGTCGCGGGGCAAATGCTCAACTGAGCGAGCGTAACGTCCAGATGCGAAGTGCGAACTAAGGAAGGGACTACACCTTCACAACTACCACAATACATGGTAGTTTTTACAATAGCATTTGGGGATGGTTACCTGAACAAATAATTACTTTTATTACCTTCCTTTTTAGGTACTTTTAAGTTAAGGAAAGCGAAAAGACACAGGATTGAGTTTAATAACCGATTTTAATTTGGTATTATATATTTTTTTAAGTGAAGAAAATCATCGAATGACTACTTCGGCCTGGGTGAGGCGGGAGGGAGTGTCAGACTCTTACTGACTAAAAACTACACCTTTCCTTCTCCTGCCCTTCGAGCCGGAGCCCCGGTAACCCGTTCAAGTCCTCCGCGGCTCCGTATATTAGGTATTATTTTATGTTAGGTAGTTCTATTAAATTTTTGTCAAAAATCTAGATCGATTAACATCATCATCAACAGCCTATAAGTAGCCATTGCTGACTAAATTCTTCTTCTCGCACGGAGAAGGTTTGAGCATAGCAATAATCACCACGCTTGCTCAATACGAGTTGGTGATTTAAAGCTTATAAATTATAATTATAAGCCCAGATTTCCTCACGATGTTTTCCTTCACGGTTTATCAATGATGTCTAAATAATATTAAAAAGTACATATAAGTCGGAAAAAGTAAAATTGGTACTTGACGTCGGTAGGTTTCGAACCTTCAGCTTCTCGTAGAGAGTGGTATATTCCTTGCTGCAGCTCGAACAGCTCTCATACATGAGAAGAAGTTTTAAATCTTCTGTGGTTGACAGGAGATTTAAGACATGTTAGATGATTGATTAATGGCTGAGATTAATTACCAATAATACCATGTCATAGTCTATAGGTTCTAGACTTCTATAAAGGACGGGATTGCCTAGATTAGTACCTAATCGATCTTAGTACAAAATCATTGAATTGAAGTTGATTTTTGACATAACTTACAAATTAAATTAAACGTTTTTATTATTATTATTTTATGATACAACAAGGTTAATACTTTATAATTATACATATATTATACATCCTTTATATTTATACATCCTTTTTAATTATAAATAATGTTCAGAAATTGCCATCTTCCCGCTAATGTCCTCACGCACCCTCCGCGTGTTCCACATAGAAATTACTTTTACTACATTGCGTTAACTATTTACTTTTAATTGTTTTATTTTGTAGCATTACTAACGATAATACTTCTATTTAAAATCTGTCACAAACCCAAATCGATTCAGCCGATTATAAATTATCGATTATTTGATCGGCAATTACCTAATTTCAGCCATTAGTCAATGTTTATTAAGTTTGTATAAACTAATTGCTTACCAGTTTGGCACGTGGTATTGTCCCCATATCAGTCTTAGTAAATAGGTACCTAATGTCGGAATACTGAAACGCTACTCAATTTTAAGTCGTGCTTAAGTATAGTTCTATCTTTACAAATTCTTTGTAAAATGACAGAGATGGCACGATATTTGAGCACGACTTATAATTGAGTAACGTTTCAATATTCCGCCATAATTCTTTCATAGGACTTGCTTTGATAATTAGAGGTACAAAATAACTCATTATAATATTATTCGTCCGTGTTCGAATGAGATAAAAGGTACCCTGTGTGCTACTTCAGACCATAATCCCTTGTTCCAAATTCCTGGTTTCTTCAGGCGTATTTAGTGGCATGTAGAAATTTGGTAGATATAATATAACTGTTAGTCTATAGCAGGGGTGGCCAACCGGTCGATCGCGACTAATAGACCAGACTGCGCAACGTTTTAACAATTATCAACTACTATCTACAAACTAGATTATGCTAAACTAGTGGAAAATGCTCAGGCGCAATGCTCACACTAATATATAGGACCCACATACCTAATGTTAAGTAAATTTAAGAAAACGATCTCACATGTGATATGAAAAGAAACCACTTAGACTGGTCAATAAAAAATACATGATTGTGTACTAAACTATGCAGTTTAATTTCAAGAAGTATGTACTTGGTAGATCGCACAGGATTTCGTTAGTAAATAGTCGATCTTAGGTCTAATCAAGTTGGCCACCCCTGGGTGCTTACTCTTGAAACCAATCTCAATGTCAATGCAATTTCAATCCCATAAAATCTCATTATCCAATGTCAAAACTATACAACCATAATCATAGCTGTTAAAGTAGAATTTTGAATACGGAATATAAAGCCTAACTCAATACCATTTAGTTCATTAAATATCCACGCAATATGAATGAAATGGGCGCTAGTGTTGCAACTCAAGAGTACGAAATTTCACAATACCAATGTCGATCGATCGGAATTGGATTCAAGAGTAAGTCTATATTTTTGTAAATTATAGGTAATATCTATCTATCTATATCTTCTATACATATAATTAAATCGCAGAGAAGTCAAAACTGTACATTGAATTTTTTTTAAAGAACATTTCGAGCTTGGTCTGCAGTCGATACTGAAGCCAAAAATAATGTGGTTTTTAGAATTTTTGTTAGTTTGTGTGTTTGTCTGTATGTCCAGGATGATCTCAAAAAGTACTGCATGTGTCTGCTCTGTCGGGTTATTTTAAATTAAAAACAGAAGACTGTGCATTGAGTAGATTTATTCACAAATCAGAGTCAAGGCGCGCACCGACACAAGCAAATGCCCGAAAGCTATGGCGTGAGTTTAGTCCAGCTTGTCAAATTTGTTCTGTTGTTCTTATCTTTATCTGAATAAAGGCTATTATCATTATTATTATTGTATGTCTTTACCGTTCACGGGGCCACAGGGTCCCGGTCATTTGGGAGGCGTACGAGGGGCCGAAGCCAACTGCGCAGAGACCCTTTAGACAACTTTAATATAAATGTAATGGACACACAAACCGGCGACTATCCCTGTATGCACTATGGAAATGTACCCAAGGACAGCCCCCGGTTAGTGTAGAACTATTGTGAATAATGGAAAAAAAAGGTAGGGCTATGAATGGGTTGCTGTGGACTGGAAAATTGGGAACTATGGATGACTATGGCACCTGCCGAAACAATGTAATTTTTACACGTAAAAATGGCAGGCGGAGACTCGCCAACTCACCGACCGGGCCCCGGGAATGGTTGCTAGATATAGAGGTAGCAACAGAGGGGCAAAGAGAATGTGAGTGGCTGAAGGGTTAAGAAACTACCACCGCTTTCTACTCAGATCATCTGCTCCAGCCGAAGCCTCCTGCATCCCTGGCCCACTCGCGACTTACGAATAGTTTCTTACCCTCCGAGCAGGATCACTGCTCTCGCGACTCCACTCTGGACGGCCAATGAAGGCAAGCCAGAGGTGGGAGACCTGTTCCTTGTCATCGTTCACTCCAGCCAGCCAATTAAGGCAAGCCGGAGAAGAAGGAACGGTGACTTCTCCCTGGAGCACTCGGGATGATGGTAGCCCGCGGGATCGCTAATGCCCGTCACCTCGCCTCAAGGTGCCCTGCGGGCTTATTATTATTATTATTATATATGGCGTGAGTGTGTGGATGAAGAAGCGCGGCCCTCGTGCGACCGCGGGTTTTTATACCCCCATCCCGCGCGTCGCCGCCTCTATAGTCGATGGCCATACCAATGCGCCGACAGCATGGATTAACTTCAAATTTTGTATGATTGTTACTAACAGGGCGGGTCAACATATGTATAGGCTACATATTATCATTATTTATCACGCTATCACCCGTAGGTGCGTGCATTTATTGCGCTTACCCCGTAGGGTAAGCGCAATAAATTACTATTCCACGTGAACGAAGTCGTGGGTACAGCTAGATAAATAAATAAAGGAACGAGTAGCAAACAAACAACTTTAGTATTGATAATATTAGTAGGATATTTGGTGATAGACAATTTCTTTATGGAATAGGAGGCAAACGAGCAGACAGATCACCTGATGGTAAGCGATCAGCGCCGCCCATGGACACCCACAACACCAGAGGAGTCATAGGTGCGTTGCCGGCCTTTTAAAAAGGAATAAGTTCTTTTCTTGAGGGTTTGAAGGTCGTATCAGTTCAGAAATACCGCCGATAACAGTACAACTGAAAGGCCTAGCCTTGATTTTCCTGTGTAAGGCTTATAGGACGGTTGGTACTGAGGCCCTACCTGTGCTGTGTAAATTGATGTTTCTCGATAAAGGGCGTTTACTTTGAAGACAAACATTTACCGCATAAATGCTCTTACTTGATTAAAGGCACTCCGTTCCAAAACCGAGGCCGCAGCAGGTTACAACTTTATGGGATAAGATAGTCAACGAGCACACGGATCAGCTGATGGTAAGCAATCAATAAGTAGCGGCGGGCTTGTCCCATTAATAAAAAAAAGTGGCACCGATTGATTACCATCAGGTTATCCGTCTGCTAGTTTACCGGCTTATCCAATAAAAAACTTAACTAGAAACTTATTTATTGAAAACAGGTAAAAATTGTGATCATTGGTACCTCTTCTGGTATTAAAAGCCATAGTGTTAAATTATTCTTTGAAATATTCGAATTCCGAACGAAACTAAGTTATTTTTTAAGCTTACAACACCACTCGAAAAATGTCAGTCTAGGTTTTTCCATTCATTCGTCTAAAACGTCAACATCTCGAAAAATAGCGTGTTATTTTTTAATAAGTTACATTAGTTCGAGTTAAATCTTCTCTTCCATTTATAAATGTGAGTATTCATTGCCATATTTTATGAAAACATAATTTCTTCGGTTACGCATCAAATTTAGATTTTCTGTACCCCAACTCGGCGTTGAGGTTATTAAAAAAAAGAACATTTGCTGTCAGTAAAGAAAGCTAAATTAAAAAAAATAAATGCTACGCATTAACTTCAATCTTTGTAGTATCCATAACTGTTTTATTAATATGTTTTATCTTAACATTAAACTTATATGTTGCGATTTTCTACATTCACTTATAGCTACCTAAGTTATTACTCATTTCATGTTTTCTGGAAATCACAAATGTACGTATACTAAAGTCTTGGTTATTATTTAACAATAATATTAATCAAAATAATTCGCAACGATTAGTACCTACCTATGTCATGTGATAGAAGAAAAAAAACTTTGTGGTACATACTCCATGGTAATAAGAGGCTGTTTGCTTGCTTACCTTTACCTAAGATAATGGTAAAATAAAAAATAAACATTTCTAAGCACCTGTTCAGAGCGAATGATTTTGAGTTTCTTCCTTCGTTTATGCTGGGTGCGATATCAAATTAATTTTCACTATTTATCTATTTTAATAACGTTTAAATAAGTGAAAATTAGACATTAATATTCATTTTATGTCCTGTGTGATTGATTTATTATCTTTATTTTAATAACACAAAAAAAATTAATACCAATTGCATGACTAATATCAATATGAATAGTTAGTATTGGACATCTGCACATATTAAAAAGATGCCTCAACAACAAATACTTGTTGCTATGTATTTTCTAGATTATTTTCTTAAATAAATGAATTGTTTCATACAAAATGATGACTAGTTTTTCTTAAAACTATAAAATAGGCAATAATAAAGCTGAGTTCTCACTGTTATGCATTTTTTCAGATGTCTGGTCGTGAAGGTGGTAAGAAAAAGCCGCTGAAGGCTCCCAAAAAGGAAAGTAAGGACCTAGATGAAGACGATCTAGCTCATAAGCAAAAACTAAAGGAACAACAGAAGGCTTTACAGGTTTGTGATATATATTTATTTCAAAATAACTTCTTCTAGCTATATGTATTCCTGTGCAGAATTTCATTCAAATCTGTTCAGTAGTTTTTGAGTGTAAAAGTCACAAACATACATCCTTGTAAACTGTAATACTGTAACATCTATAAATTCCTGGAAAGTAGATTGGGCAATGTTTTATTATGTTTTTGGCATGAAGTTGGTGTCATAGAGCACAGATTAAAATTGTGTTGTGATTGTTTTTTTTTTCAGGAGGCGAAGGCAAAGGCCTCACAAAAAGGCCCATTGGTAACTGGAGGCATCAAGAAATCGGGAAAGAAGTGAAAATGTAACATTATAATTAATTTATAGGCTAATGTAAGAATTATTAAAAGATCTTTGTTGTTTTTATTTCAAGGATATAACAGCATTATTCTTGAATATACTATAATGTAATATTGGGTTCATGTATGTAATCAATAAACACCACTGCCATAATTTGGCTCAATGTAAACTTCTGCTAAACATACCAAACTTGTAACATGCATTTTGTATTAATAAAATAAAACATTTTTTATAACTATTCCATGAATTTAATTTTTATTTTAGGCTGTATGACATTGCACCTTTGCCTACCGTAGCTTTCCCGCCATTATGTGACAATTAAAGTTTTACTCCAAAAAAAACGAGTAAATCGTCTTTGGTTTTTAGATTGTGTTGTTTTAATTTAGGGTGAATGTTTTTGTAAAAACTAGTTTCTTCAATTAGGTATAACTATTTTGTAAGTTATAGACAGTGCACTTAGGGGAAAAACTTGAAGTAGGTAGGTAGAAGAACAGTAAAATCCGGTAAGCTACTTTTAAAATGGCATATTATTAAAAGAAATTAAGCAATATTTATGAATGTGATAATAAATCGTAATCTGCATAGTTGACGTAGTGGCTGGACGGCCGGCTGCTTTGTAAAGTATCACGGATTCGATTGCTGCACAAAAGAATGATTTTTTTATACATAGTAATTGTTCAAGGTCCGTAAACGCACCTAACAATAAGAAAAATCGTAGGAGAACCGTTCTTATATAAAAGAATACGTGAGTATCAAGGTACAGAGTGCGTATCTAAATAACTATATTTTTCATTATTACAGTTACTTACAAGATGAACTTCCTAAGAAAACTGTTTCCTAGTAAGAAATATTTTAAAAATACTACGTCGACCACGAATACAACAAATATCATAGAAACACAAAGAATAGACGACGAAAATTCGCACTCCGACAGTAATTCGAACGTTCTTGAAGTTGATTCGACACTAAATAACTGCGAAGGTGAAATTAATATAGATATTGCAGTCGAGCATATTTCTAACGATGTTATACATGAATTAGATTCTGATAAAACATTTTATGTTCTAAAGAATGTACCGCCTATTGAAATAGGTCGTAATAACGATGTTTGTAACAGTATTAACGATGATAGTGATAAAAAAGAAAATGAAGATTCTAAAGTTTTATATAATATTTCTGAAGAGATTTTGAATGAAAATTGCGTACAACGGGTTCAAAATGATGATAATGAGAGTGAAATAAAAGAAATTAATAGAATCAATGTAGTAGACGAAGTAAATCTACAACTAAAAGAATTTGAAGACGTCTTAGTAAATATTGATAATATCTTTGAAATGGACAATTTAGAAACTCAATGTAGTTTAAATTCAAACGATCTTGACGATATTTTGAATGAAATAGATACTGCTAATGATGATTTGAATAACGAAATTAACAATAATAGCGTTCCTGATGAAACGGACGCAAAAGATAGTATGGATGACAAGAAAGTTTCGAATAATAGTGAAATTATTGATGTAATTTCAATAAATTCGTCTATAGATGAAGATATGCCTCAAAATGAAGTTACAAAAGACCTCATAACTATAATCAGTGATTCAGATGATTCGGAATCATGTGAAGGCTATCATTCATCAGATTTTGAATTCATATCCGAAACAGAAGCTAGAATGGACGGCTTTATAATAAATTTTAGACAAAATAGACCTGATGATGAACAATTTGATTATCCAGGCCAATTTGTTGAAGAATTATTTGGAGATGAACACTCAGACCCAGGTGAAGGGACTAGTGGCCAAAATAGGCCCAAAAATGAATTCGAAGATAGAACTTATAGGAACAATCATCAGATACCTGTAGGAGATAATTATTTAGTGTTGTTTCAAGGCCTTCACAATCCTCTAATGGCTGTTTCAGAAATTTATTTTTTGGAAAATAAGTCTGTTAGAACTTCTGCTATGAATAGCCAATATGATGGGATGGGGTTTGATAAGCAGTTGGCTATGAGGAGGCATCAGCCTGATAGCTCGGAAGATGAATGTGAGTATACGCCTTTTGATCCTAGAAATAGTAGGTAGGCACAAATGATGATTGTAACACTTTTTGTCAGTTATCTTTTTTTTAAGGGGGGAAAATCATCGAATGGCTGCTCCCGCCTGGGTGAGGCGGGAGGGAATCTCAAACTCTCACTGACTAAAAATCACCCCGTTCCTTCTCTTGCACGTAGAACCGGAGCCCCGTTAACCCGTTAGGTTCTCCGCGATTTGTCAGTTATCTTAGGAGTCCATGGAGAGAACGAACCTTTTACCATAACACTAGGCGCAGTGGCAGACTCCCAAAATTAATGTTAGGTTCATTTCGAATTTGTCCACAAAGTCTTGCTTCGCCGACCGAGACAAATTCATAATCGGAAATAAGTATGTACTTAATACATGACTCGGAAAATTAAAACCTTCGTTCTTCGCACTTGATAATTTCCTACACGTACCTATAAGCCAGTATAAGCAGACGAATCACCTGATGGTAAGCTAATGGTACTCAGCATCAGGAGACCAGCATCACTAAAAGAGTTACAAGTATGTACGTTGCCGATCTTTTATGGCTTTATGAGCCCTTGATCCCCTCCCAAACGAGTAAGTAGTAGTAAATTAAAACAATTTTTTTTTCAGTTGCTGACGATGCAAAAGAAACAGCTGGAAAGATTTTAAACTTATATCCGAGAGAGAACAGAAAAAGAAGGAGACGACGATAAACATTTTTATAGACATTTTTTATTTAATAAATAAGGTGTAATTTAACTAAAATATGGTGTTTTACTTTATATTTAATTTTATTATTTTATTGGTTAGATGCGGGTCGCTTCCAACTACTGATATGATAAAGGTATTATAACTTTATGCTTCGAACCGATCGATCTGTAAGTCATACAGGGAGGCCTATTGAGGCATGAACGTCTTGTAGCTGATACGATACGATGATGACATAGAATGATTTTTATGTATTGGAATTAATAATATTACTGATATAATAGTATGCGTTTATGCATAACATACATCACGCCTTTTTATCCCCAAAGGGGTAGGCAGAGGTGCACATTTCGGCACATAATTAATGCCACTGTACAATGTAACGCCCACTTTTCAC